ACCCTAATGCATCGTATGTTCTGTCCTTCAGTGTCCCCATGCTTCTCTATTCTTTATCTCTTCATTGATTCCTAACTAATCCAGGCAAAGGCTGGATGATAACGCCAACTACATTCTCGTGTCAAATTATATTGAAAAATATTTGCATTTTTAAAATATTATCTCAGATTTTAGTGGGAAGGATTTTGTTATCGTTTGATAGTGAACCAATCTCTCCCGCCTTCTCATTGGACGAATGTGGCCATGTTTGTATATATATTCGAAGAGGAGTGTGGTGGATTATCGTGTGGAGAAGCTTAAAGTGTTCTCTGCGTGCTATATCCGTGTCTGGCAATCTCCTCGCATACCTGTGTAACCCCGGTCCGATCCCAACCAACAACAATAAAGCTAAGTACTGTTTTTATTTTATTTATCAAATTGTGATTTATTATTTGCCTTTTTTTGTTGTACTCTTGAGTGTACGCTTTTTGTGTGTTTAGTTACTATTACTTTAGGTCCTAGTCTATTGTATTTTGTGTTAACCGTATAAAGTAACTTTTGTCACTCGTGTCAACGAACTTCTTTCTACAAGTTTTTTTCCCGAGTCTTGAGGGGAGTGGAGTTAACGAAGATCTCATGATTATCTGGAAGATGACTCTTCGTCGTTAAGGGTATATACGAGGGAATAAACTTTTTTTTTTTAAATCGTAAAGACTGGCAGATTGTTAGGTGTAGAATTGGCTGAAAAGTTTACGCAGTCGATTCGATAGAAATATAATAACAACGTTATAATTACACCTATATGGAACAATTGTGTTACCTAGGAATAGATAGAAAACAATATTGGTGAAGAGCGTTATGAAGGGTACAATGTGATTCGAAGGGTCGAACGGCGGGTGGGAGAAGACGTGGACGGTAGACTGGTATTGGAAAGCCAAGCAATGGAGATGTAAAGAGAAGATACAAATATCAAGAAGCATGAGGAGCTTATGTTGGAGAACATAATCTACTTAAAAGCTACAAAGTTGAGAAGTGAAAACGAGTAAACGGTCTTGGTTGAGGATAAAAGAAAGGAGAATACGCAAAGGCTGACGTTACCTCATTAGGAGCTACGGCCGCAAAGACAAAGGTCTTGCTCCACTCAGGGTCGGTACTAGGCTCCGCTATGGGGGTCTTCATGGACCATCCGTATCCCCTGCCACTGCAGCTGTCAGTAAGTTCGGGGGTGTCTGAGAAGCTCTTACTTGTGGGGTAGCAGGCGCAGCTTGGCGTAGGCCCGCGGTAGAGCTCCCGTGCTTGCTTTGCGGCGCTTCAGGCCCCGAGCTCCCAGGAGAGTCACGACCAGGTCCCTCCGCTCGGCGTCGTACCAGATCTGTAGGCCGAGCTCTCCGTGGGAGGGCATTAGCTGATCCTACAGTACGTACAGTACTGTAGTGAGGTGGACTGTGGTGGTAGTGATACAATGACAGTGGAGACCATACATATACACCACAAAGAATAAACCATGAAAATCATCAAACAATAACTGAACAAAGATTACAGCTAAAAATATTTGTCAGTGTAGGCTTAAAAATATATGCAACATATATTTGGCCGTCTCTGATATCTAGTAGAATCGGGTCAATGGCAAAGCCACAATGCCAGCTTTTACAAATTGAGATCGCCCATCTAGACTACGACCCTCATCACTCCAGGTCGAGATTTGATATCAAAGGATGGCATATATCTATTGCAACTATTCAGTCAGAAGAGGTAATCCTTTTACTTTTGAGATTAATCTATTCAATAAAAATATTCCAATTCAAAGCTTAAAATGCACTCATGAACAAAACTTAAAGAAGTTGTACCTTTTAGCATGTATATCGGATTCAGACAATAACTCTGAAAGATATTTGATACATAGTGAGCTTTATTGCTAACACACGAGATAACCAAGTGTGGACAAAATTACCTTTGTCTCCTTAAAAAACAACAAAAAAACAAACAAAACAAACAAAAAAAAAACAGTCGATTTGTGACATAAAAACACGAAAATTCCTTATGAATTCCTTATAAAAATTACTAATCATATGAATTGATTTTTAGAATGGATTTTTAAAAACTACGCTCATGGACATAACTTAATTCTATCAATCCACATGATGACAACAGCCATCAGTGGTATAGTGTTGACATAAGGTGTTGACTTGTGGTCGACATTTACCGGTGTTTTGGGCAGCTTGCGCCGAGTGGGGGACAGGATGGCGTGGTCGGGTGTCACATCCTTGAACAGATCTACAACAGAGCTGACGTCAGCAAGGCCCTTGCACTGGCCAGAGTGGACATACCTGGAGGAATGACCAGCTTGGGGGAGAGTTTAGGCTTGGGGAAGATGGTCTCTCTGGAACCAAGAACAATGATTACAACACTTTATACATTCTATCCTGACCAGGAGCATTTGTGCTTTACAGAAGGCAGAACGCCATCTGGTGGAACAGAAATCAACTGTTCATTGATTTAGCCTGTTCCCTGATATTTGGCCAACCCAATTTCTTGATAAATCAAGAAAAGCCATTCACGAACGCGTTTCGCGCTTTTTGGCGCTCGTCAGCGTGGAGTAGGCTATACCACTGCGACCAAAAATATTTTTGGTTCCAGTGGCTTCTTGAAAAACAAGAAATGGATATATATATTTTGATTTCAACACCTGATCTTTTTATCTTTTATTTTTTTATTTCATTTTTTCATTATACATTCTATACCGTATATCAGCTTGCACCACGCTGATGAGGGCCAACAGCCCGAAACGCGTATGTGTTTAGCTTTTCTTGATTAATCAAGAATGGGCATTTAGCTAATTCTGGAATAATTAAAAATCAACGAATAGTTGATATTTATAGCACCATCCATCAGAAACTTTCAGTTGCACGATAAGGAGATGCCTTTTTCTTAATTTATTCACCTGATACCGTACATCATACAAACATCGATTGATTAAAATTGAAACAAAATTAAATCTGATAGAATCGCACAAAAGTGAAATTGTACTGGGATCACAGGATAAATTAAGAAAAAGGCATCTCCTGATCGAGCAACTAAAAGTTGCTGATGGCTTGCGCCATCTGTCGGAATAAATATAAACTATTAGTTGATTTTTAATTATTCGAGAATTGGCCGAATACCCATTCTTAAACAGCCTGAAACGCGTTCATGGTTAGCTTCTCTTGATTAATCAAGAATGAGTATTTGGCCAATTCTGGAATAATTAAAAATCAACGGATAGTTGATATTTATTCAGACAGATGGCGCAAGCCATCAGCAGCTTTTAGTTGCACGATCAGGAGATGCCTTTTTCTTAAAATCAATTTTTTTTGGGTTGAAGATTGGCCTAAATATGATGCTTAATAAGCATTCCCATCTTTGAAGAATTTTATGAGTTTGGATAGATAAGAAGAACTTCCAGAGTAGTGTATACTCATGGACAAATCTTAAGGAAGAGGAAAGTTTTTATGTCGCCGGTTTTTTTTTTTGAAGGAGACAGAGACAATCTGTTCACACTAAGTTATCTCGTATGTCTTCAATAAAGGTCACTGTGTATCAAATATCTTTCAGAGTTATTGTCTGAATTTCAGATAAACATGCTAAAAAGTACAACTTCCTTTTTGTCCATGAATGTATATTAATTTCAAGTCAATAATTTCAATTACATTTTGAATAGTTTATATATTTCTCAGTTATTTTGTGTGTAATACACTATTAATATCATTTATATTTTTTCATGATTATAAACTAATGAGGATTATATACGTACATAAACATACTTGCATAAAAGCATAGGGCGCCTTTCCCGTCAAATTAAACGTCAAAACTAGACGTCATATATTGACAGTCGCCGCAAACTAGCGGCCTCGGGTCGGTGACAAAGCCACACTAGTTTGCGGCGACGGTCAATAGATGGCGTCAGGTTTTGACATTTAATTTGACGAAAGAGGCGCCCTATGTTTTTATAGATCAATTTCCTCCCGGAAAAATTTCCATCTATATACTTGTATATAATTATTACTGAATTACCATTATATATATATGCCTTTTTAACTTTTTTTTTTTTGCAAAATAAATACATTAATAAACAAAAGTTAAGGAATTTGTACATTTAAGCTGTATATCGGGATTCAGACAATAACTCTGAAAAATATTTGATACACAGTGACCTTTATTGAAGACACACGAGATAACCAAATGTGAACAAAATTGCCTCAGTCTCCTTAAAAAAAAAAGACAACCGGCGACATCAAAGACATTCCACTTCCTTCAGTTTTTTCCATGGGTGTATTCTAAACCTTTCTTAAAAACGGTTTCCAGGAGTAATGTAGCTTGGAAACATTTTTATTATATTAAACAATAAAGGAGGAAAGAGAAGAAGCAATTCCTCGAAATATTTCAAATTTTTGTTCTTTCAAATATTTATTGATCTCCAGGTACGTTTTCTCGACTATTCCTGACTATGATTCATTTTACCGCCATCTATATATATAAATTTGAATTATTTTTAACATGAATGTTTCTAGATGGAAAATTTGCCGGGAGTAAATTGATCCATAGAAGCATAGGGTGCCTCTGCCGTCAAAAAAAAAAAGGTTATGACGGCGTCAGGTTATGACGTTTATTTTGACAGGAGAGGCGCCGTATGCTTCTATGAATGTTTCTTTTTCGAATATTATCTTTGTTTTACTTCTTATAATTAAAAGGCACATCTAATAAATGTTTATATTTTCTCGACGTTTCAACAAAAATCTTTTGTCCTCGTCAGAAAAAAAATTAAAAACGAGAGAGAATATAGTTTTACGGGCTACTAACCATAGTGTATAATTTTTGAGCATAAAAATGGATGTAGCAAGCAGACAAACCGCAGTACACTATAGCAAAGTAACAAGTTGTACACACCACCAAGGTTGTTCAGAAAAGGTTAGATTCCCCAGGCCAGGATAGATAAGAGAGAGACAGATGTTGATTAGATAAGAAGAGTAAATAAAACGATAAGACGTCTAGAAGGTGGAAATGAACAACACCGCTTTTAAACGGTTACAGGTTTGAAGCCTGCATCCCGGAACTCCAAAGTTCATCTAGGGAAAAAAAAGAATTTGGCAAAGGCTTTATAAATTTATCTTTTATACATAATACAAACTTCTACTGCCCTTACTACCATGAAAAATATATTGGGAGGGTTTGGCTCATTAGTGGTGGACCCTCCCAGCGGTTTCGCCAATTTTCATTGCAGTAAGGGCAGTAGAAGATTGTATTATGTATAAAAGAAACATTCGTGCTTTTAAATCCTTTCATTTTATATGTATAGATGGCGCGTTATTGCTTTGTATAAATGTATCTGTTTCAAATGTAGTTTCGAATTATCACGCCATTTTGGCCTTAAATAACCATTTCTTGATTTTAAAGAAGCTTCTAGGCCAGAAGTCGTCAAACCTGTGAGTTGGAAAAGTAAAAAATTACAATTTACAAAATTTCAAAGTTTATAAAGAGCCACAAAATTTGTTCTTGTCAACAATAAATAGTACTCACATAAATAATATTTACGTATGGAACTATATAAAGAGCCGCAGCTTCACATCCAAAGAGCCGCGTGTGACTCGCGAGCCGCAATTTGCCGACCCTTGCTCTAGGCGCAGCTATTCTGATCGTTAAGATTCATTCTCACACCATGTTGATGAGGGTCAACAATCTGAGACGCTTATGTAGTTGGCTTTTCCTGACTTACCAAGAATATTTGGATAAAATGCTGGAATAATTAGAGAAATCAACGATTAGTTAATATTTAATTAAATAGAATTGCACAGGCCATCAATAACTTACAGTTGCACGATCAGGAGATGTTATTTTTTTCATGCAATCTAGCATAACAATAAGTCATATTGAATATTTGCGGTTAAATTGGCGTGAGTCACAGAAAATACCCGAAATAAACAAAAATGTATAAAAGAAATTAAAATGATTAGAAAAGTGTACACGTCACACTTTCAAAAATTAAATCTCTATCTCTTACTTAATTAAATTACTTTTTTAATATAATTAAAATATTTTTAAATTAACCTTTCTGTATTTTATTGGTTGCAAACAAAAAGACTTTGCAGATTACACAAGTATACGCTAGTATACTAAACTTTGATTTAGTCTGTTCACTGATATTTGGCCAATCCATTTTCTTGATAAATCAAGAAAATTCAGCCACGAACGCGTTTCGTGCTGTTGGTCCTCGTCAGCGTGGTACTGACTGTACCTCTACGACCAGAAATATTTTGGTCCCAGTGTATGATAATATACTCCTCCTATATCATTTTTCCAGATTGTTGCTGAAGAAAATTTAGTTTTCAACTCTAACCTAGTGATGTTATATGGCTCTAAGCTTTTTTTTTTGTTGTTGTTTATACAAAATAAGTACATTGTTGACTTTTGAAAACTGAAGTATTTGGTGAACAGAATCATTTTTCCAAATATATGTCTTTTTTAATATAAATATATATACTACACATATGAACATATTAACGTATGTACGTGAATATAGGAGCTTGCGTATGTATGAAGTTGTGTACAGGCTTGTGTCTATGCTTACGTATATGTGTGCATGTTCACGCTAGATGTGAATGTCTGTATGTTCGCGCTGGGTGTGAAAGTATGTGCATGTTGTATTTTATATATTATCAAGTATAAGCATGTGTGAATAGTGTGTGTAGTGTATTTGCATGTATGTATATTTATAGAAATGTAAATATCCTCTTTGCATACTCAATTGTTGTTTTTAGGGATTTGCATGTAAATAACGGCACAATTTTGCTAGAAGTCAGTCAGTAGGATTTTGTAGAGTATTTCTAGTAAAGTATATTTCTTAAATCCGTGGCCTAATACAAAACAACACCTAATCTTGTCAACACCTCATCCTGGCTACCTCTCTATCTAGTGATTCAACAGTGTATCGTGTTTGTATGTATATTATATATGCGTATGTTCGTACGCCCACATTGAACAAATGCACTCACCCCTTGCTGCCGAAGTCGACGACAATCTCAGCCGTGCTGCCCGACTTGTCAATGACGTCGTTAACCTCCTCGTACGTTAGACCATCCAGCGCCGTGCCGTTCCACCGCAGGATGTGGTCACCTATGCACAGTTTGATTTATAAAAAGAAAGATTGACTCTCCCATCAAAACAAATGGTAATATTAAGCGCCATCTACTGACCGTCTTCGCAAACTAATAGACTCGGGTCGGTGCCAAAGCCACTTTACCGGCTTTGGAAAATTTAGAGAGCCTACCTGGAGACCATGATTTTGGGTTAATGGTTCTCGTCAGTTCGAAACGAGCTTTGATTCCGTGAGATCTGTGGTAGATGTTTTGAAGAAATAGCCTTAGCCTTTTTTAATCAAATTAATTATTTTTTTATTTGAATACAAACTGACAAATTAAAATGGTGGCTAATATTTACATCTACCAGCAACGAACTAACTATGTATATCTATATAACTTCTATATTTTGCATATTCATTATTTAATAAAAATATAGTTTTTAAACACATTTAAAATATTACAAGTCAAAATGAAGAGCACGACTACAGATCCATACAATATTTATGGAATCTACAGAATTATCGAAATAACCGTTTGCCTTATAGCTACCCTAATTCAAATAGTTTATTTTCTAATATAGCTGAAGCTAACATCTTCAAACATAAAATCAGGTTTTCCAAGCTGAACGTTTTTAAAAATGAAACAATAAGATGACGGCGAGTTTAGATAAAATAGACGATCATCCAGTTTCTATAATCGGATGATGCTGTTTGTCTATAAATGGCGGTATCTATTCCATTCCAACACTTTTAACGCCTTTGAAACCAAGTGCTGATGGCTATTTTTATAACTATTTATTGGAGAAAAACATAGGATTCGATATATTGAGTGAGTAAGGACTGAGGCAATATATGAATCATTTTCAAAACTCCTGAACCTGTGTTAAATTCTACAATTTGTTCGCATTTCTAAGTTGGGAGCTAAATAAAGTGGATTAAGTATAAGGCAGTAGGTCGCCACCTGTATGTTGTAAATTAAAATGTTTATTGAAAATTTGCTTATTTTTCAAATAAAATAACTTCCTACTGTCTTCTTCACCTCGGTGAATAAATATTCATGTATTGGGTTAATCTGCTTAAATATCCGTCACCCTAAAGGAATTCTCGGTTGAAGCCTTTGAAGAATTAAAGTTAGGGGGTATTGAAACGTAGATGGAATGTTCTTCCTATTCTACCACACAAAATACGCTAGTGTGCATTTAGAATTAAAAAAGTGCTCGAGCCTCACATAGTTACTTGTGGTTAGATTCCTCAAGAATTGGAGGACCATGGAAGCAATTTTTTCTTCGGAAACAAAAGTGTCAAATGAAGAGTTCGATCCTGAGTTATGGTTGTGGGGCGCAATCGACATAGTTTATACTATTCCTCCATCAACCTCAAAATGACATTATGACATAGTGACATTAGAATTTTTCACGTTTATTATGAACACTAAGAGAGGCGTCCACCCACCAGGCTGCAGTCCCACGGCCTCGGCTGGACCTCCCGGCACCGTCCAGGAGACATAGGCGTGGAGCCGTCCGTCCTGTCCAGCCTTGCCGCCCATCACCCGCACGCCGAATCCTCGTGCTGCGCACAATCACCCGTCATCCCACTGTTGCATTATATAGCCGGCATATAGACCTAAAGGTCTGAGAGGTCATCTGGGATGTCGTATTATAGAACGATATCATTTTAAGGTGAAATCAACAGGCTTCCAGGAATACGTTTCTTTATACTAGAAGGAATCTCAGGATATCATTACTAGAAGAGACCGAAGGTAAACGCGACGAGTTTGATTACCTTTGGTTTCTTCTAATAAGCTTATTTTTAAAAAATCCTTGATTTAGACCTTTATTTTTCGGGCATGAAAACCCTTCTACAGGAGGAATAGAGATAAATATAAGAGTGGCTTATAGGTAATTAAGTTTAATAAAATAAACAATCCAGGGCCAGGTTTCATCACCTATTATTATTTCTCCAGCTTTCGCATGACCTTCAACAGGCGAGAACTAGAGTATGACTTCCAGTCAACTATACATTGAGTAAATGACCCTGGATTTTTTGTTGATTTTATTAAATTGAAAATAAAAGGGATGAGCATGAATTATAAATCAAGGTAATTTTGTACTACAGTGTCAACATAAGGAAATAATTACAATATAATACACTGCGGCTTGTAATTGTAAAACAACACTTGAAGTTACACCGCATGAGTTTCTTTTCAATGAAAAATCAAAATTTATTTCAAGGTGAAATATTGACTATTTCTAACGTTTTTGGATGAGGTATGGAAGGATGAATTATGAAGAGTAATGATGAACGGAAAAATAAAAGTGTCCAGGGATGGGAATCGAACCAACAATGTTCCGCTTACCGGGCAGATGCCATGTCCACTAGGCACAAAATTACAAAAATAATAGCATAATTCAATTAAATAATCCGTTGTATCACATTTAGGTGAAAAAATATTTTAAATATCTAGATTTCAGGTATGAAGGCCTTCTACAGGAGAAAAAAAAAAACGATGCCCGAAAGCTATAGATCTAAATTAAATTTTCCAAGAAAAAAGGAACTTATCCTTGGAAGGTAAAGATTTCACTTTAATATTGATACAAGGGATTATTTTATTGACTTGTGTTATCATTTTTATAACATTACGATGCACTAGCGCGCCATCTGTTATTAAATTACAAAACTATTTTATAGGCGTAATATTCTTTTTAAAATAAAACAATTTCTACTGTCCTTATTGCAATGGAAAAATTAAAGGGAGGGCCTGACTCATCAGTGGTGAACCCTCCCAGCGGTTTCGCCAGTTTAATCTACCATACCGCTGTTATATTGCATTTTTGTTCCTCACTGGCTGCGATATCGCCTCTGCGCAAAGCTAATATTGCATTTTTGGAACTTCCTTTTATAGTGATACTGATGCTTGACTCTTCGAATGGGTATTTTAGATTAACTATGGACATAAGCTTTTAGGACAGCAGAATTACATATAATTATAAATATA